GAAAATTGAATGGACATCGGACAAGCGCCTGGCCGTATAATTAGTGGCGTCCCTGGACAGGGAACAGGGGCTTTTAGTGGCCAACAGCCAGCTATCCATCTCCGATGACCCGGCGGGATCACCGGATCTTAATTAACAAAGGGCCTCAAATTAAAGGCTAATCAGCCACTTGACCACTTTGTCCACTTGACCCGGCCCACAGAGTTCTGCTCCAGCTCCTGGGTTTGTGGTCACAAAATGGATTTATGATGCATGGCAAACAAACCGGGAACTACTTCACAAACTTTTCACGCATTTCAGCAAAAGCACCAGCATTCCACTTTTCCATTTCCCAGTTTCGCCTAGCAAACCTCTTTGAAAACCCAACTGCAAATCAGGCGAGTCCGACATCAACTCTACCTCTAACTCAAACAATGATTTGTGAATGCATGGTGAGGAAAGATGTGTCCATTTTTAATTATTTAGAAGTTAATTTATATAAATAATTTTAGCTTTTAAATTTTGTAAAGGGGTGTATAAGCTAAATTAAAATTAAATCTCGTTTAAGGCTAATTTTCTTAATCACTTTTCAGATCAATAAAGTAACAAATTTTTATTTTTGTTAGAGAGTTAAAATAAATATATTATATAACAAAAGATATTGAAGAAAAAGCTCAAAGCCACGTTCGATTTTTTATAGTCTTCCTGATGCCGAATTGACTTTCTTTGCCCTCGTATTCTTTGAAAACGGGGAAAAAATGCAGTTCTTCCCATGCGTTCAGAAAGGGAAAAATTTCGTAGAGCCCGGAAAACTTTCTCCACACATCCGCTGGCCCAAGGAAAGTGAAGGAAAAATGCTAAACCGTGCACAGAAGCAACTTTGCGTCCTTTTGTGAGCGGCAACTTCGTTTGCGTCCATTTTTAAAATCAGAAATATGCGTACGAGGATGTGGGTGAACGTGTGTGTTTGGCATACATTAGCATCTCTTGTGTGTGCTGCATACATTTAGGCGCAGTGCAATGCAATGCACAATTGCTTATGAAATTGAGCAAACAAAATTGCGGAATGCTGTAAAATGGCAGCTAATGAGCCGAGTTGCCCTCAGAGGTTAATGCGGAAAAAAATGAACTCCTTTGCGTTTGATTTTACACTGAAAAATGAAGTTATTCCTCTTTTAAATGGATATTTATTATTTTCGTTCTTGTTTAAAACTATTTTTATTTGTGGGTGCCACAGATTCACTAGACTTTTTAATTTAATTATAAAGGTGTTTTAAAGTATACAACCATATTTTCAAATTCCAGAATGATTAAGGATTCATGCAGAATTTTTACCGCATTCCTTTGGACTCCTTTATACGTGATTTTAAATCCCTAGCTATGTATATATTTCTAGTATTGTATGATCTAGACCACCAGTAATAGGTTTATGATAAACTAAAAGAAGTACTAAAATTCTAAGATATTTTAATTTTTTCCCGTGTATTTTTACCGTTACTGCCAAAAGCGTGAAGTTCTTTATAATTCGCTAGAAAAATATTGATGTAGCCATGAATAATAAAAGACAGCAAGCACCCACCCTCTTCAGCCTTCTGTAAGGAAACAAACTCATTAAAAGGTTGCTGGCCAGTCAACCAGTCAACAACTTTGAGCCACAAAACAAGCCATTAAAAAATGTTTAGTACATCGACTATGGCAGAGACAGCCACAGAAAAAGCAACAGAAACGACAGCCAACTGCCAAACAAGTTCATGGGGGGAAAAAAATAGAAGCACAAAATTGAAGGCAAATGTTTAGTGGAAGTTTAGCAGAGTGGTGAAAAAGTTGGAGCAAAAGCGAAAAAACACGAGTGTCCCCAGGGCGCATTTGAGGGGTATTCCAACCCCCCTCCCACTCACCTGTCACGTGTAAAATGCCGCCAACGGCCGAAAGTCCTTCATCCCCGCTTCCTCTGCAAGTGTGTCCTTTTGTGCCCTGTTCATGTAAATTGAAAACAGTCGCCAAACGGCATTAAGAAAGCGAATGAGGCAATGAACTGGGCTTTGTGCCCTTGTGTGTAAATTAAAAATTAACTGTCGCCAGGGATAAATTGTCAAATTGTATGAACGACATGAATGGCGAAAGGCAGCAATTGTTGCTTAAATGAGTTTTTTCAGTTAAGCAAATATAAAGGGTCACTCATAAAAGGATGTAGGCTGATTTTTATGTTGTCAGCTTGATAACATTGAAATGAGGAGGTAAATAAGACAAATGATTTTAATTATATCAGAGAGCTTAAAAATGTTTTTAAAATTATTTATTTAAAGATTCTTCAAAAAATTTGTGTGTGTTATTTTTTATGTTTTACTGTATTGTAATATTAAATCATGTTGAAATTGTTTTAACTATGAATTAAATCCATTTAGAGTCAAAATACTTAAATCTAAGTTGCTGTTAAATTTCATGGTTTTTTTTTTCTCAACTTAAGACAACCATTTATAAATAAGGTGTCTTTTTGTTTTTTATTTTAAATCATGTTGAATCTGTTTGATTTTATATTAGTTACACTTGGAGTCTTGGTAATTAAATGGGGTTTAAATTGGATAAATACAACTTAGTTGATTTCAAATGCCAATGTTGTTATTTAACTTAAGGATATCCATTTACACTTTGCTCCCTATTTGTTCTTGTACTGAACAAACGTAATCTACTAATAGTAGCAGACTCCAGATGTGGAATCCGCCCACTTTTATACATTTCCATTCATATACTTTCGCATAGATTTACAGAGGGCAGTCGTGCAAATCTAGAAATAAACTTCAAAGCATTTAACATCTGCCCATTGACCAAGAACGCCCCCGACTCGCCGGCGATGTAATCTGCACAATGGGATGGCAGAGTTTTAATTGCTATGACACTGGCAAGACACGGCTGACTGGATAAGAGAAACCGAGTAGTGACTAAGGGATCGGGATAGGGATCGGGATCGGCTGGGCTGGGTCCGTTTGCTGTTGTCGTTTTCTAATTTGATAAAGATAAAAATCATTTTGTAAACGCCCTCGACGATGTCGCCGTCAAGTGTGCATGCCCCTGACAGACGGACATGCGGACAGGCGGACGGACACGGAAAACAGGACACTCCCATTCCAGGACATGCTCTCGCAGCTCGTTGGCTGCCGCTTAATTGAATGCTCATTTCAACGAGCGAGGGTCCAGCTCTACAGCTCTGCAGCGTCGCCGGCTTTAATTGCATTTTTATTTCATTTCACAGCAATTATCGCAAGTTCGTGTGCAAATTCTATAAACTCACGGCAGAAGGGGGAACTACACAAGTAAAAATCTGTTTTTCTATCCACTCGTTCTCCATTTCCGTGATTTATCATGTTACCGTTTATTTTATATTTGAAAACATCTTAGAAGAATGGTTATTAATTTTTAGGTTTAGATCTTTATATACCAAATAAATGTTTTTAGTTTTGGCAAACCTTTTACCTTTTATTTATATATAATTTAATAAGCTAGAAAACTCTCAAGAAATGTAATGAAATTTTTCCTTACATATTACTTTAAAAGATACTCGAACATAAGACAAAAAGATAAAATACGAAAAAATTATATTTTTGAAAATATATTGGGGAACAAAAATGTAGTTTTTTAGGTTGTAGCTATCGCAATTTGAAATGAATATGAATTTGATAGTGATGGATATTTGAAAAACAAATTTTTGGATTTACTCATTATTCGAAAAATTTATTAAAAATATTTTAATCCCGAAAACAGCATCTTTAATGTTATTGTGATTGTTTTCAGTGCAAAGGACACTGGCTTGAAGCGTTCAGGAGGTGGCACCTGCAACATCCCGAAGCCAGGAGGTCAATCGTGTCATGAGTGTATCTGTGCCATGTGCAACTAGTTAGCAGCTCGGGCAAGTGTGTGTATGTGTGGCCTGATGTCCTGCGAAACCGTAATTAAAGGTAGCCAGGACTTTTAGCCAGCTCCTTGCTAGTTCCTGCTGATATTTATTGTCGTAGCTGCGTTTTCTGCCCTCTTATTGTCAGTGCAAGTCCAAGTTGCTGCCGTTGCTGTTGCTGCGAGTTGTTAGCAAAGCAATTAGCATGAGTTTGTTATTGCAACACACGGTTTGCAGTCGGCAGAGGACAGGTAGAAAGTCGCAGGCGACCGTGTCCGGCACCTCCTAAAAGTTTTACACCGAACCCAGGGGCAACTGGCGCCCCTCCGAATGCCAGCAAATAAGAATTTAATTTATTTACTCTGCAGCGGGCAAAGTGCTGGCAAATGGCCGTGTAGCATTTAACACTCCACAAACAAATCACAGGTAACTGAAACTTATGAAACTGATGTGCATGGAAACGATAGTTTGATTATATTGATATGGAGCTGAGGGTAGAAGTAAAAAAATTATGATTTCCATAAGGGTTATAGTGATCATAAAAGCTGAAATTTCCAATTACCTACAAATATTTTTTATACTGCCATCAATGTATTATAGAATTAAGTAATGTTCTTCGACTTAAAAAAAATTAAATTAAATATTAAAAATATTTGTTTCAGCTTTTATTTTCAGTGTAAAATTTGTAATCACATCACGTGAATTATCAACGCTTGCTACGATTATGAGCTTCCGCCCCAAGAACAGAAATTAATTTAATTTTTTTTAAATGTAAATAAGCTTCTCAGCAAATATTGAAAGCTTATTTAAAAAGTTAGTTTATCTTAAGCATATTTAAAAAATAAGTATTATAAATTTCTATAAATATATATTTCAACTTTACTTTCAGTGTGATAAGTGTTTAAAAATAATAAAAAAATTACTCAGATAAATGTGTTCATTAATACATGGCACTACTGATTATAAGCTTCCGCTCTTTAAACATATATTTCTAAAGTAACAATTTTTTTTTGCAAAATGTGAATGAGATTATCAGCAAATTCGGGTTTCTTGCGGGCTCTTGAAAATCATTGAAAAATAAGCAAGTTAGTTCACTAAAGTCATTTGCCTTCGGTGGTTCTACGCTCTTAATATGATGAAGCTTGCGACGTATTATTGTTACGCTTTTGTTGTGTGCAATCTGTATGGCGTGACCAGATCACAGGATGCCTCTTCCTTGTGTGTAGTGAAGGACGCTCCCAAACAGTGTGGCGCATTCTGCCTTGCATCACTGCATCCGCTGTTTGATCACAATATCAAGCACAGGCAAACATTAACTGAAAACAATGCTAAATTGGATAAAATCGAAGGACGGCAGGCCGCGATTGAAAGTCAACTGCAGGAGCTACAAGTCAGAGTGCTAGGCCAACTACAAGTGCTCCAGAATGCGATGGAAAGTCAAAAGATCCAGCAGGGCTGCGGTGCGAGCTTAGAAGGCCTGACAGAAACAGCCGATGGAGAAACAGTTCATAATGATAAAGTGATCCTGCCGGGCTTCGAGCAAATCGGTTCCAGATTTTTCTACATTGAGAAGAACAATCTGCAAGATTGGCAAACGGCTGAAAAGTCCTGTCGTCGAAAGGGCGGCTACCTGGCATCCATCAAAAACGAAGAAGAACTGGCCGCAATCGAGGCGACAATAAAGACAAACACTTGGTACTGGCTTGGCATCAACGATCGAGAAAAGGAAGATACGTTTCTATCTGTGGCCTCCGGCAAACCAGCACCGATTTTAAAGTGGTTTATGTTTATTCCCAAAGTAAAAGAAATACACTGCGTTGTTCTGTCCAAATACGGAATGCTTAAATCTGATTGTGCCGGAAAGTATTATTTCATTTGCCAGGGAGACAATGATATATAGTAAACATTATGTACAAAAATGTACTTTACATATATACAAATATATTTAAATCGATTTGGAAATAAAAATAAATGTCAATCTTTAAAATTTTCCCTTTATTAATAATTTGTATTTATTATTCACTTCAGTTTTGGTACACAAAGTATGCCTATTATTGCAATAAGAGTTTCCCCTCAGTCAACTTTTAACCTATTCTATTTTTCTTATCAAATAATTTTTAGGTAAAAAATCTTGTTCCCTTGAAATACAAAGCTTCTTGGAAAGGCTCTACTGGGCGTAAATGTTCACTTTCAAAGGACACCTCAACCCCTTTGATCTACTCTCAACCATTTTCCAATCAGTTTTCCGTACACCAGTTCCCTTTCAAATCGAACCGCACAGTTTTCCAAGCCATGGCTTAGATTTAGTGGAACTTTCACAACCCCAACCCCGAAGTTTGAGCCATCTCATCACTTACTTCTTTCTTGGGGGTAACCTTCGGAACCTTTTAAGCCGCTTGGCGTGTCCTTCAATGCCTCAAAAATCCCAATCCACCATCTGCTCCTCCTCCTGCCAGCGAAATCTGTTGCTTTGTTATCATGGCCCTCTCCTATTGCATTTTATTCACTCGATGGGGAGTTCCTGCTCCGCTTGGCTGCATCTCCTTTTGGGGGCTACGGGGTTTGATTTCGGTTTGCTGCTTTCGCCGCCAGCTTCATCGTGGATTATGCAAAAAGTTTTTCATTAATGTTGGATTTAGATATTTTTTCACGCTCTGCAACTGTGCTTCCCCAGCCCTCCTGGTGAGAGTACTTTTTCGCCAAGCTTCCTCGATACGGTTTCCCCAATTCCCCGTTGCCTTTACTCCAGATCCGCTTTTTTCCTGCGTTTTGGTTGTTGACAACGCAACTTTGGTCCCAGGATACGTTAACTTTTGTGCACCGCAGCGCCAAGCTCAGTGCAATGAAAGTTGGCACCACAAAACACAGATACGTTTGGATAGATAGATAGACAGCTAGACAAACACTTAACAACAGAACCCATGAAGATGCCACACGGCAAATTTACTTTACAAGTGAGCAGCCAAATGAAGGATGAATTAAAAGAGGTGCGTTTGGTTAGGTTGGAAATGATCTATGGTTTTCAATGGCGGTTTAATCCAGGTATCTGCAAAGATTTATCAGAAAAACATTTTAGTGAATTAAAAAAAAAAAGGTAACTAATGGACAATTTGAAAATCAAAGAAAGGAATTTCGTACTTTAAAAGAGAAGTGGTTTAAATTAGTTTATATTTGTTCCTATCATAGAGTCTTAATAAAAAATAGGTTTTACATCATTCTATTTGATCTACAAATTGGTTTTGGGAAAACAAATTTTTAGAAATAATTTTTTGCAACTTTACTAGTATTTAAATGTAATAAAGTATTTGTTTGAGTACTTTCTTACCTAATCCTTTAATCACCTCTGTAATATCGCCACCTTCGCTCAGTGTATTGCCACATACAGTTTTTGCCACAACATGGGCTTTCTTTTTTTCTTATTGCAACATAACTTGGACCTTCTTTCTTCCCCTATATATATATATTTATTCTTTTTCCGTATCTGGTCGGACTTTGGTGGTTGTTTTTTTGGAGACACTTTTGCCGCTTTGCAGTGCAAATTGTTGGGTTTGCCGTGCTTTTTTCAGTTTTATTCTTATGGCATTTTTGTGCGGTTTTTATTTTCCTTTGTGGTGTTTTCGATTTGTCTGCCGGCAGGGATTGGAAGGAGGGCCTAAAAGGACCACCCATCTTCTTCCGCGTTTCAGCATTTATTTGAGTGTGTAAACTTTTGCTACTTGAATTTTTCGGGGATTTTCCTGTGGCAATTTCACAGTTGGCTCTGGCCCTGGCCCATCCCCATACCCACTATACCATGCCAACTTTGATAGTTTTGTCAAAAGTTTTTATTGCGATTTGTTGCAGCTGCAAGTCCAAGTCTTGTAAAAGTAATGCTCATCCAAAAGGAGAAGCAAAAATGCTGGAATTCCCCAATTGATATTTTTGTGTGTACGATTAGAGTGAGGAAACATTGAAGTTTTCAAGGGTTTGTTGAACACCATGTTGTGGGCTCCCTAGGAGATCTTCGGAGTTTAAGTGAAATACATTCTGTTCTTGGATTCGCAGGCGTAGACTTTCTTAAACTATATACAACAATTTAAATGATTTTCTAAAAATAATTTTATGTCGGTCTTATATACCTATACCTAAAAAATAATACAAAAAGTATTTCTCCTGAAAATTATTAAGTTTGCTGCTTGTAAGTAAAATGCTTAAAATCTTTAAAAAGGATTTTCTTTGAATTAGTGCTGGTAAACTATTGAGTACGTATATTTTGTCTTTTAAATTGATTACAATTATTTGAAGTAGTGGTTGTTTGTTGATTATCTTATACAGGACTTTGTAAATGAGGTAAGGACGAGAAGAGCGATATCTTAGATTATTTATTAGCTAAATCGAATGTTAGCTTTTCCAAGAAAGGAGTTTCCCTTACTTGTTATCACAATTCTCGATGACCACCACATCCCCATATTTTGGAGGCGGTGTCTCCGGTCTCGCCGCACCATTTTCGACCACATCCGTATAGAATCTGGCTGTAGAAGTTGGCGGCGTGGTGGGAGAACTGGGCTCCCGATCCCGACTGCTGAACAGGTTACTCCGACTGAGGCGCCGGATGAGGGTTGCCGTGTTCTGATTGATGGTCCGGTAGTACTGACTGCGGGCCGGACGCCCAAAAAGCCGGGACACGAAATTGTCCTGCGGTCCGTAGGGCTGGCGAACCACGGCACGCGATGAAGTGCTCCGAGGACGCTGAGGATTGGAGCGTCGGGGATTGCGAGTGCGCTGCGGTGACCAGGTGTGGATGGTGGGCAGGCTCTCCTGCGAGGGATCTAGAGGTGCTGATGGAAAAATAAAGGTAAAGTAAAGTAAGGGTACTGGATAATCCAACCTACCTGAATCCCCATCGACTACTTCCGTGTTGCTTTTCTTTTTCCTCATCTCACAGCAGCTCTTGAGGCACAGGGCGCAGGTGATGATGAAGATGACCATGCAGACACCCGTGGCCCCGCCCACCACAAAGGCCAGCTTGAGGTCATCCTCGTCGTAGGAATGCGTGCGTATGATTTCATCTTCCAGCTGGGAGTGTCCACCAGCCAGGAGTTCATGGCTAACCCGCTCCAAGCAGGTGCGGTATCTCATGCAGAGTTTCTCACGACTTCCCTCGCAAACATCGCTCAGTGATGACATCTGGTCGTCGTCCTCATCGCTGTCCTGCTCCTCACTAGAGTCCAACTCCCTCCAGATGGACAACACGGACTGAGGTCCTTGGGTGCTGAGTTCTACGTGTTCCATGCGTTCGAACTTCATCTTAGCAACCTCCTGGACTTCCACCTCATCCTGCTGAACCTGCACCTCCTCCTCTTCCTCCACGCAATCGCTCATGAAAATAGCCACTCCACGTTGTCTTAATCCGGTGGCTACTTTGGCCAAAGCTCGATCACAATTGAACGGATTTTCCTCCACATTCAGGGAGGCCAAATACCGCGGGGCATGGAAATCACCTGGACTCAGAGTCAACAGAAGGTTCTGGGCCAAATCCAGCTGACGCAGTTGGGGTAGAGCACTCAATAGCTGGTTCCCCAGCTGATTTACCTGCGAGTTGCGCAGGTTGAGTGAGCGAAGCGATGGACTCCTCAAAATAGGTCCTTTACCCAGGGTGGACAACTTATTGCCCTCCAGATTGAGATGTATCAGTTGGTCATTGGACTCTAGGATATGCTCATCGATCTGCTCCAGGCGATTGTACGAAAGATCAAGGTAGCGAAGTCTGCTCAACTCCGAAAAGGCATCACCGTAAATTGTGTGGATGGCATTGTGGGCCAGCGTGAGGTTTAGCAGGTGGATTGTGGACTACGGAATAAATAATACAATTAATAATAATATTTTTGGGATAGCATTAGAAATTAAATATATTTGAATAAAACATTAAATTTTCAAATACAAAATCATTATTCAATTATAAAATGTTTGTATAGTTATAGCTATAGAATTTCAGACTCTAAGCAATAAATCGACTCACCTCAAAGGAGTCATCATCTATAGAGGTTATATCATTGTAGCTCAGGTCCAATAGCTCGACCGTTTTGGGCATTTCTATATTGGCGCTTATCAAACGCTTGGCACTAAACCAAAAAGTATAAATATAATAAAAACTCAGCAGAGAGCCCAAGTAATTCCCCCAATACAATAACAACTCACCTGCATATCGCTCGATTTCGCTGGGCATGCAGATCGCAGTGGCAAACAGTGGGGCAGAACATCTGCTGTTGGGCTTTGCTCCTGCAGACCTGAAGGACCACACAGAGCAGGAGGCCCACGTAGAGTAGGATCTGCTTAAGACCCAACCACATTTTGGGCTTTATGACACATTGCAGAGCCATAAGCTAACTACAAATACTTTTTTCGTCGACTGAAACTAATGGTTCGTCATGTTCGAAATGGTTGGTTTGGGAATACTTGGTAGTTATCGACTGACTGAGGGCTCACAACTTTTCTCCCCATTCACTTTATGACTAACTGATGAGCTGCCTTCCAGTGGTGAGTTACTTCACTTTTATTAAGTAAGGTATTCAATATAAAACATCGAAATTCATCCGTTTAGTAATATGCTTGGTAAATGCTCTACAATTCCAATGCAGATAAGATAAGCGTCTTTGTTATTATCTAATCAGCTGATGCGGCTTCGTTCGTATTTCGATGAAAGAGTGCGTTTCTCGCTTTGGGGTCTCAAATGTCCAAAAAATCTAGAGCTACAAAAATAAAATAAATTACCAAATAAGTGTTTAGCTTGATGGTTATCTATAAATTTTTGTAATAATTTGTCATTTTTTGTTACTCAAGCGATGCACTTTTGAAAGTTGAGCAGGTGTTAAATAATCTTTAATCATTGATGGCTCTGTGAAAAGCTTATAATTTTGATTGATAAGCTATAAATTAAAAAGATTCGAGCAAAAGTCAATGACTAAGAATTTTACAATTTAAAGTGTAACAACAATTTCAGACATTTTTTACTAAAAATGAAATTAAAAGTGGCACAACAATAAACGTTTGAGCAGCCATTGGCAAAAATCTGGATGTTGTCTTGATTTTATAAATCCATATATTTTATATGATAAACAAAATTAAATGGTTGGATGCATATTTATTTATTGCAAGCTTTTACAGCTGAATTGGACACTTGTACATGGTATTGAGTCGCTTGACATCGATCTCACTCATCATCAGCCGCTGACCCATCATCGCCTGGCCCTCTGGTTTCAAAGCCACAATTGTGGCCTCGCCGTTGATGGAAAATGCCAAGGAACTGTAGTGTAAAATGCTCCCATAGTCATAGGGCTGATCGAAGTCCCCCACATTCTCTTCCTCGTACTTGACAAAGTTCTTTTCCTTTCCCTCGGTGATGTTCTCATCCACGATCTTCACGTACTCATCTCGATTTGGAGAGCATTGCTGATGGTGGAATCCCAATGTGTGAAGCAGTTCGTGCTGGATGGTGCCCAGTTTGAAGCAGCCAGTGTCCAGTGCGGCAGGCTTAAGTTTGACGGTTCTTTCACCTGGCTGGTAACCCACTTTCGAGCTACATCCCGAAGTGGAGGGAATCACTATGAGATAGTTTTCCTCATCCTCAGCAGCAGGCACAAATCGAATACAAGAGGAATACTCAATAAACTGCATGCCTATCCTAATGTATTCCACATAGGGAGCATCTGAAGATTAAAATAAAGAAACATATGATTTTTAGATTTATTATTTAGAGAGTAGCTATAATTTACCAAACTCCTCGGATATCCTGTATGGAACTGTGGCATTTGGCCAGCGACGTGTCTCTGATAACTCTCCATTTCGGGTAAAGTCCACATCCATATCACCCTGGAAATATCCTGCAGTCAGCTCTGGATCTGTTTCCTCATACTGTGTACTAAAGGGAGCTGTTAAAACTCCAGAGCACAGAGTGCCCAGCAGAAACAAGTAAGCCCAAGCACTAATCATTTTCGACTGAATTAAAATGACTTAATCGCTAATAAATTCTAAATTATCGCAAAAAGGGGCGCCTTAAGAACTACTTGTGATTGATTAGCGATAGGCGTCTGCGGAAAATGAAATTTTGCTTAACTCTGGGTGCTTAAGTACTTCTATTGTTGCTAAGTTCTTAGTTAAATGCTTTTTGATACAAAATATAATATATAAAAGTTCCTTTGTTTAACAGCCTTAGAAGAAGCTTATTTATGTTAATTTGGAAGGAGCTGAATTCCTAGTTCCTAGTTTAAGTTCGGTGTAAAAGAAAATGATTTTATTTTAAGACAATTCACAGTTTTCTGCGACTGGACAAGTTGATCGTTAGCCAGAGCAGCGCTCGAGGCTACTTAGCAGCCCAGCTTTCGCTTCCGTTCGGTCACAGTTGCAGGCTCAGTCCCATTCGCTTGGCCAAGATGTAATGGCTGAAAATCCACTTGTCCGCTTTTCCCCCCGTTTTAACCCTCTGACTCTACTTCCGCACTCGGTTTGTTGGCTTTAATTTATGGCCATGGCCAGACGACTGCGACTGCAACTGCGATTGCGAGGGACACTACGCCTGAGACTTCGACTTCGACTTCTACTGCGACTGCAACGGCGCCTTCTGTCAGTCTCTGTGGGCGTGACCAGTGGTCGTCACATCCGCTGTTTGCCATGGTTTGGATTTGTCCACCCTGCCTCTTTTGGCCCACCTACCATCGAATGATCACCGCAACGGGCAGCAGAAATGGAAACTTTTCTACACACATTCTCAGCTTTTGCCGCTCGGGGTTTTTCACTTTTCAGCTAAAGCCGGACCGTCGGAAATAGTTAACTTTTATGCGCATTTCAAATCGGAAAGTTTTGCATTCAAACTTTATTAAAATTACGCCCGATGCCCGACCAATTGTGCCTGCCAGCCAACTCCTGGACGAGTCCGCACCGAACTGGTTGGTCGCCATCTTCATGGCTATTGTCGCGGAGGTTCGCAGAGGTTCCTTTTCTTTGTTTCAATGCCGCTTGGAGTTCCCTGGGCATTTGGGGATCGAGTTGGAATAGGACACATTGGATAAGTTTTACCCATTTAAATTATGCAGCTGCATAATCGGAAATACTATACTTTTATCTATCTCCCATAAGTTAAACTAATAGGAGTTAAAGAACAAAATGGTTTGACTTTGCTTAAACCACAGGAAAACGTGCTTAAATTATTTTATATTAATATTGTATTTATTATTATTTTTTTTATTATTATTTTATTTATATTTTATTATTTATTTATTTTTTATAATTTTGTATATATTACATTTTTTAATTCTTTTATTCATGTTGTATTTATTTTTTGCCTTTAATAATTTGGAAACTTATATTTAAAGTTCCTTCTTTATTACTATCAAAAAATAAATCAAAGCTTTATGTTCAACGTTTTATAAAGAAATATACATATATAAAAAAAATTAATGCAGTATAATTTTCATTTATATTATGATATTAACCGTATTGGCACTGTTTTATCCTTTGAATTGAAGATACACTATTAAACTATTAATCTTTAAAATGTATGTATCTGTAACTTTGTTAATGTTTCTGTGACTACGTTGGTGGTACTATCTTAGACCCTTTGAATTTTCGTAATTATCTTACTGCAAATGTTCCGACACAATTTGGAAGTGCATTCCATCTTTCTCCATGTGGAAGGGAAATTCGAGAGTTTTTCCCCACTGCACATTTGCATTGTTGTTTTGACTGCTGGCGCGTTTTTGTGGCCATTTCCCCCTGCCCCTCCCCCTGGCTCTGGCCCCGCCCCTTTCCCTGCCCCGCCCCTGGTCCACAGCTCCCGCACTAATGACCGACATTGCTTCCTAATTACAAAAGTTTTGCATGCACTCGCTGCAAAAGAGTGGAGGGTCGAATTGCTAGCCGAAAATGGCTAAAAAAAACTTTAAAGTTTATTTTATTTCCTTTATTTAATGTCGGAGCGCTTAAAGTTGAGCTTTTCATTTGGTTTTTAGTGGCCTTAACTAACGACTCCATTAACCCAAGGAGGCCGCAATACACATGTTTGGCCAGCGGAAAAGGAGGGTAAGCCAAAAACAAAATAAAAAGTATTGCGCCCAGGCCGTGGATGGTTCATTCCAGTTGCACATATGTCATGTGACACATGCTGACCCAGGAACTATCCCGATCCAGAGGCAAGGCCCACTCTTTCTGGCCATGGGCCGCACTTAATGATAAACAATGCTTGCGGTCAGTTTAACATGCCGCGCTATTACCCTGCCACTCAGCCGGCTTTCGTCCTTCGTCCTTCGCCACCCACTGCGCATTCCTGCCCCTTGCGGTGGGACCACTGCCCATCCCAATCCCGCATAACGAGTGGACAATTTACACGCTGAAACTGAACGACAGCGGACATTGGACGTCGGTGGGTGGACTAATTGATACCTCAGCTCTTTGGGGAGACGACCTATTGACCTGCAACCGATTGAATCTAAAATTCAGTTACGGTCGGGGAAATGCTTACTGATTGATTTAATGGATTTTTTTCAAAGAAGGAGTAAATGATTTGTTAGCAAATTAGGTTATCTATTGAATTTATCTAATAATAACAAATGTTTTTACTTCTGTAGGATTCCGTTTATAAGTTTATTTCACTTAGTTTGTATTTAATATCCATAACTACCTTAATAAAGGCTTTACTTTTTTTTTAGTATTGCATTTATAATTATATGTTGTACTGCCTTTTCTTAAACAAGATTTTTAAATTTAAGTAGTGGTACAATTCTTGAAGATTTTTAATTTTCGGTGGTTTATATTTTGTTGTTTAAGGGCAATTATTTTAATGGAGTTTTTATTTGATAAGGGTTTTCCTTATAAAAAATTTTTTAATCAAAATAAATGATTGCAAATTTTTAATTAAATCTCTTATGTACTTATTTTTCTTTAAGAACAAACCGTTTATAATTTGTTTTTAATTAACTTGCCATTTATAAGATTTACAGAAAAGTAATTTACATTTGTGTAAGAAATAACTTTTTAATGAAAAGGAGGATCCATTCAGAGCAGTCATTTTACAATACAATTATATGCCATTAAATAAATTCACATAACTGAGTACTAAGTCCATGATTCCCCAACAGATCCACACCAAGTGTAACTAGTAAACCAAGGATAAGAAGAAGCGACAAAAACAGCATGCTTAAAAGAGCAGTAAATGAGAATTTATCCACTTGCTGACCAACGAGACGCCCCTAGCCCCTTGCCACGCCCCCCATTCGCAGACAGAGAGACAAAAACCAGGGCGGAGATATAGGGGGTGTACAACTGGCCGACACACGCACATCGTAAAGTTTTAATCGGATGTTGTCCAGCTTTACATGACGCCATCTACTGGCTTAGAGTGCAATATCCTGTGGCACGCGATAACATCGAGCAAAAGAGTTGGGTGGCAGAAACGGCGGACAAAGGACAGCGAGGGGGCGAGGGGACACAGGGGGCGTGGCCGGGGTGCGAGGACCACCACCCTTGTTTATGCGAAACGCCCGGGCGAAACGCTTCTGGCCCTTTGCTTTTTGACGGCATTTGGCACTGCCACGCACAACAACTACAAGGATTCGCCAGGATGCCCGGCGAGAGCCGGGGCCCAGCAATTCCATCTATGGGCTACAAAGCCGGCACTGTTTCAGGCACGGCTACAGATACAGATACAGATGCCAAGGCTAAAGCCAAAGCAACAGCCGCTACAAAGGCTTAAAAAGCGCTCAGCACGAAAAAAACCGAGTGGAATACTGGGATGGAGAAAGGCAAAAGGAGGTCCTTTAGAAAGCCGAACTGGTATAGTCCCTAAAAATTAGTTTAGAAAAGACTGATATTTTTATATTTTTACAGTATCGTCAATGTTTCACTTAGTTGTTTTAGTTTTTAGTTATAAGGGCATTAATATCGTAAAAAATAAATAATTAACAGCCACATTATAATTAAAAATAACTTTAAAATCTATTATTTGTTTCTGCTCCCTTTTTATTTGCTTTTTAGTTCATCCTGTTTTATTTACAAATTATTAATATACCTTAGAAAGTTTTGACCTTCTGCAAAGGCAAATACCAGACAATGGACGATTCCAATTTAAATTTGTAGAAGAAATTCCCCTGATGACTTTTATGATGCATGACTCTCACCTTAGCTCATTGGAAAACTTTGACTTTAAGTCAGCAGGCCGGCAAAGCTCATAAACAATACATTGTATCCTTGCCGGCAAAGTGCATATAAAATGGCAGTGAAATGTGTGGCTCCTGTTGTTTTCTGGGCTTCGGTCAGCCGCTTGGCTAGACGCACACTTGGCTGGATGGTCAAAATTGCCAGGATGTCCAGGGCCCACCGAAAGCAACCCACCGAACCACCAAGCCAACGAACCTCGTTGTCATTGTCGTGACAGGAAATTAAGATGAATGTGGCGAGCAAACTGCAGTTTCTACACCGGGGTTGCAGCTCCCCGCCGCTCAATGTCCTTTATACTTGAATTTCGCCCGCTGTTGTGGCCCAACTGCCTTATTGTCGTTTTTCTATTCGGTTAGACAAGGGAGAGACAGACGGCTGCCTCTTAAAATATTCATAACGCAAACTGTTGCCACTATCTCCAGTGCAGAGCAGACCGCAGCGGATGCAGGCGGACCGGGACAAATGGCATCGCTGGGAGTAATCCGGGAAAGCTGGGAAAGCTGGGAAAAGCGTGCGAAAGTTACGCGTTTGAATTAATTGATTTTTATGAATTTGTTAAGTGAGTTTTTCATGCCCCGCAAGCCAGATGGGAGTTCATGACTGCAAAAACGTTTGCTTTACAGAGAGTGCAAAAATATGTCACAAATTAACAATGTTTAAAATGACAATTATTTATGCAAGCTCAGTTATGATGTGAACATTTATTCTGTCTCTTTATTTGTCCCATTTTTTTTTTTTTTTGGAAATATACAACGAAGTCATTTCTTGTGCATATCATGAAAACAATAACCTACAATCAATGATTTATGCTCATTAAATCTATGTAAATAAATCATAATAGTTCTTCGCTAAAAAAGTTCAGTTAGTTTTTATTACTGCATGGTGTGCATAAATTGTAATATCAATGAATGCAATTATACAATTTAAACCGTCAATAAATTAATATAAAAATTTGTTTAAATCCAAGATTTGTTGAATTTAAATGACCAGAATAAAAGTCTAATAGACCTTTTGCTTGAAAATACATAGTGTTGTATGACTAAAATCGTAAATATAACTCAAAAGAAATGCCATAATTTATGTTGATTATATGTACAAACTTTTTAAATACCTATGTTGTTAAATATTATTGTACATTTGAATACCTTGTTTACCCATGCTTACATCATTACCTGCGTTTAATAACCCCCAATAAAAGCCGATTCCCCGGTGGTGGTCCTTTAAAAGTTGTCTCAATTATTCGAGGACAAGCCATTACATCGTAAATGAGGCAATATTAATGTGAAACTTTCAAATGTTTCCGTTTGGCTTGGGTCTGGAGGATAATAACTTAATTGAGCCATTGCACGCATGGGAGAGTTCATTTAAAAGTTGAGAAACTGTCATCGTTTGTGCTCCGGTCTAATCCCTGGTGCATATATAAGTCGGAGGAGAGTCTCGACTTCATGATGGTTCGTTACGTGCCCCGTTTCGCTGATGGTCAGAAAGTGAAGTTGGCTTGGCCCTTGGCTCTGTTTCGGTTGAATCATATATTCTGGCCCTTGGATCCGAGTTCGGGAAAGTGCGCCCGCTATCTGGATAAGATTCTGGCAGTTCTGGGCAGCTTAATATTTCTGCAACACAACGATGCAGAGTTGAGGTATTTGCGCTATGAGGCTGGGAATCGAAATATGGACGCCTTTCTCACTGGCATGCCAACGTATTTGATTCTGGTGGAAGCTCAATTCAGGAGTCTTCATATACTCCTTCATTTCGAGGAGCTGCAGAAGTTTCTTCAAATATTCTACGCCAATATTTATATTGATCCACGAAAGGAACCTGAAATGTTTCGAAAAACTGATGGAAAGATGCTAATAAATCGATTGGTTTCCGCCATGTATGGAGCGGTAATCTCTGGTTACCTAATCTCTCCCGTGTTTTCCCTCATCAACAAAAGGAAGGATTTTCTATACTCCATGATCTTTCCATTTGATTCGGACCCTTTGCACATTTTTGTGCCACTGCTTTTGAGTAATGTATGGGTTGGCCTTATCATAGATTCCATGATGTTTGGGGAGACAAGTTTGCTGTGTGAATTGATTGTGCATCTAAATGGTAGCTATCTGTTGCTCAAAAGGGACTTGGAATTGGACATTGAAAAGATTTTGATTGCCAGGGAGCGTCCTTTTATGGCCAACCAGCTGAAGGAACTTATTATCAAAACTCTCAGAAAAAATGTGGCTCTCAATCATTTTGCTCAGCAATTGGAGGCTCAGTATACGTTGCGGGTTTTTATAATGTTCGCTTTTGCAGCTGGTCTCTTATGTTCCCTTTCTTTTAAGGCTTATACGGTGAGTAAATTATTCTATTTTTTTATTGAAAAAACCTAATAAGTACTATTATTCTTTCTGCTATATTTATTAAAATTTTCTGGAAACCAGTTTATTATATAAAACTTATTTCCCAACAGAATCCCATGGCTAATTACATATATGCCATTTGGTTTGGAGCTAAAACTGTGGAGCTGCTTTCCCTAGGACAGATTGGTACCGAATTGGCTTATACTGTAAGTTAATATATAAGTATGTGCTAACGTTTTAATTATTATTTTTCTGCAATACAGACCGATTCTCTTAGCTCGATGTACTACTTAACCCATTGGGAGAAAGTCCTAGAGCACTCTACAAATCCCAAGGAAAATCTGCGATTGCTCAAACTCATCAACGTTGCCATTGAGATGAATAGCAAGCCCTTTTATTTGACGGGACTGAAATACTTTAGTGTTAGTCTGGATTCTGGCATAAAAGTAAGCTATACAAAACGAATCTAAAATCATTCCATTATCAGCTCTTTTACAGATTCTGAAGGCAGCCTTCTCGTACTTCACTTTTCTCACCTCGATGCAGCGTCGACAAATGAGCAATTAAATAATTCACATTTTTTTTAATGCCGCACTGCTGCCTCCTTCTGCGACTCTAGTCTGCTGATACAAATGATTGCATATTAAAAGTCAATTATTGGTGAATTACATTTAATTAAATTAAATTGATAAAAGGCGCTGGCTCACACGCATCATTGACTTTCGCTTCTTTTACTCTTTTTCCTCGTCTGTGTGTGAGAGTAAAATGCGTGCATGTGTGTGTGTGTGTGAGTGTTTGGGGGCGCCTGAAAATATGCAATAAAATATTCATGATTTCTGTGCAGCAAAAACTTGCAAAAAGTTAATAAAACTTTTGCCACTGCTGGTGGGTAATGAAATTAGAATATCGCAAGCATACCGAACGCACAGAGGCAGAAAAAATATAAATTTTCAGTTTTCCATGTTTTGCCATCTCTGGAAATGATCAGCGCCCATTAAGCCGGGTTTTGGATGGCGTCTCCGGCGTAAGCCATAAATCTTCAACTTCGGAGAAGGCTCTTCCCCGCTGCCTGCCCGCTCCCTCCCCTTCATCCGCCCACTATGTTTCAATTTCCTCTGGCACGAACATTTTGGTAAATTAATCCATTAAAGTTTCCCCATGAAAATGCACAAAAGTTTTCGCATAAAAAGGTCATGCATCTCGCTTGCTCCGCTTCTGCAGGACTTGGGCTGTCCCTGTTTTACGCCCATAACTTGCTCATAAGGGGAAGTCGAACTTCGACAGGCGTCGCGCTCATTGATAATTAGACGCTGTCGACGTCTCCATCGCCGTCGATTTCAGGCTTCGACCCGCCCCATTACCCAATTTGTACTTCATTAGCGCCATGTTGTTCGACTAGGTTTGTGTGCTGGCCCCTGGTTTTCGAATTACTTGGATTGCCGTGTTTGACGACCTATAAGATTTATTTATCTAAGAAGCCTTTAGGTATTTTAGGACACTCCAAGTGTAAAGATGTGTAATTGGCTGGTATTTTTAATGGAGCCACAATTAAATTAAAGTTTTAGAAACTTATTACCAACATATGTGTAATGTAAAAAATAGATTTCAGCTTTGGTTTTATTAGTCAAAATAAAAATGTATCTACTTATTAAATGTATTTATTAAAAATTTTAAATTGGTCAATTATGGTCACCTATTCAAGTTAAAACTATAAACAAAAGGAAAAACCAAAGACCCCGCTGTTGATTTTTCAAAATTTAATTTGAATAGGTACAACAATTCGTGCTTGAAATAATAATAATGCATAATAAAGTCAAAAAAGAAAATTTGCCACATGGTTTCAACGTCGGTGTTCAGCTGCCGAATATGTGATGTCTGATATCTTAATATGCATTGAGTGCAAGTTGCAATAATAGCGCTTAATTAGAACCGACAGTCCGGAAAAAAGGAGGATTTGGGGGAAAAAGCCCATCGCTATTGCACTCAAAATCCCTTATCGTTCCCTCTGGCTTTGCTGAACTTTTGTGCTAACCACTGAAAATTTTATATTTATGCTTGTGTTGCCAGCTGAAGCTTAAGGCAAATACACAAACATACAGAGGGGCTAAACTAAATGTGGGGAAAGTTTTTAGCTTGTAATTATCATTAGCGATATTGTGTCTAAACTTTTCAAGCCGCGCACGAAGCAACAGCGTGCGAATAAAGTAAGAAGGGGTTGAACTTTGATTCGAAGGCCTTAAATCAATTACAGTGGAAAAGCAGAAACTTGTTAATTGCGAGATAAAGCAGAAAGGATTCTCTTTTATTTCAGTACCTGTCATGCAATACTTTCAGAACTGGCAACACGTCGTATGCTTAATTAATTTTAAATGCACTTTAAAAGTTTGCCCGCTCGAGAAAAGTACCTCTGGTGAAATAGGTGGCTGTGTGGTATTTTTCACCTTTAAGTCAACTTTCCCCTGGCCCCGTAAAAAGTAAAAAAACCTAGAAAAAAGACCATTCATGTTTGACTGCATTTGTCAGTCTCGGGCCCAGAATCAGAATAAGGCTCTGAGTCCTGGCATTCGCATTCCTTTGCCCAGGTCCTGTGAGTTGTGTGTGTAATTATGTCTGAGATTATGCCCACAGCCACGACGGTGCTCCTACTACAGCTGTCTGTCTTTAATATGCCACCGCAGTAACCCACCAGCCCAACCCATTTTATTCCGCCTTATTTCACAGCAGTGCTGCCATCTATGAATTTTAAGAAGTGGCTAATACCAATTATACAAAAAAAATATAATAACACTTTAACCATTCTGTTGCCTAGTTTAGTCCTTTAATAATTTGTATTAATCTGCTTATATACTATATCTAATCCATTTTTGCTTATACTTTTGAGTTCATATTTTTCAATACAAATGTTTACCATAAATTATTCAAAATATTAATTTATTTGAGAGATATCATTTTGAAAATACTTAAATATATTTTTAGGTTTTTTATTTATACTTTGCTAGGAAGTTGTTAGCTTGGCAGTACTATGTTATTTCTTAGCTTTTCTCTGCCTGTCGACAGCGTCAAAAGTTTCTGTGGTCTGCCAACTCATCTCCCTTAGCACCGCTGATGTGTTGGCATTCGCTTTTGCTTTTACTCGCTGCCTGCTTTAAGTGGAGGTCTTGAGATATTTTTCAGGGCTTGTCTTCGCCACGTTGTTCATATGCAGTTCCTCTCCTGCACCGCGGGAAAATCTTGATTTCCTTGTCATTTTGAAGTAACTTTAGTCATGATAATAATATATATTGGTCAATAAATAAATATTTGTTATATTTTGATTGTTATTTTGTTTTATTGCGGAACTTAAAAAAAAATTATTTATTCAAACTTAATTGATCTGAAAAATTGAATTTAGAGGCAACGATTTAGAAATGCTACACTTTGATTACTTTATTTATATTTTATTTTTTCAAGCTTTCATAAAAATATTAATTGCGATACTACCACTGTCAAGTGGAAAATATTAGAAATCCTTTTAAGGCCATTAAGAAAAATGTAATAGAAAGAATCGCTGCCTAAAAACCAGTTTAAGGCTGTATCATAAATCCAAATAAGATACAATTTAATTAACCTAAGGCTGAAAAACTCAGAGGGCAGAAGATTCCTTTAGGTAAACATTTAAACAAATGTTGGTCATTAAATAACGGCAACCTTAATTGCAGTGTACTCTGCTTAAGTATTCTCATTTCCCTTTAGTTGCCGCTGCTGCTGGTGGGTTTTTGGCTTTTGCCTTGGCTCGTAAAGTCGCAGGAAGTTATTATCCTAAAAACTTTACCCCTGAGGGCAATACAAACAAAGGCGTAGCAGGGCAACAAAGCGCAGCATTCATGTCTGACTATGAAATGGCTATGGCTGCACTCGCCCGCCCACCACATCCATCCCCCGCCTTCCTCCCCCCTCAGCCACCCACACATGCGTCTCGTTTGCTATGCATGAAAATAGAATGTCATAAAATTAGAACGATCATAAGAAGAGCGAGGGGCTTCCACACACAACACAAAGAGCTCGGGGAAAGAAAGCGAAAAGAAAGCGGCGCTCCAGCCAGCTGACTTTTTTACTGCTCTTGGCGAAAAGTTGATGGCCAGGCGTCCTAGTGGCCGCCTTAACCCATTAAATTCTCTTTATTATACCAGCAATATTTTCTCAAAATAAAAAGAAGGAAATTCTCAAGACATTATGACTTGAGAGCGTGATAATCGTGTGGCGAAGCTGGGCTTGGATAAAATTTTATAAAAAACAGATTTAATTGAGTTGAGGGTTGCAGGGCAGTGGTAAGTTATGTTTTCTTAGTATCAAAGCAGTTTATCTTTTCGTCACTCAATCTGTTTAGTTAAGAATTGATCAGATGTTAATTTCGTTTTGCTTAAAAACATAAAAAAATGTTGATTAAAACTTTTCATTTAAAGAGCTAAGTCATTAAATTCTTCATTTGACGTGCATCTTATATATTTTGATGTCCAAAGTCATCTTAAATTTAAACACTTACTTAAAAATGTCCTCTTAGAGTAAGTATACATTCTAAATATCTCCAAAGCAACCCACTTAAAAAGCTGATAAGACCAGCAGCATCACAAGAGCTAAACCACCTATTCCATACTGGATGACGTTGGCCCATCTTTAGTTGCAACTAAAAAAGCAAATGCACTGCTTGCATAAATTAAATGTTTACGACTTCCGTTTTGTGGGCAGGTAGCTCTGGAGAAGCTTTGGCTTTAGTACAATTTGTGCCATTAAAAAACCAAATATATGTATATGCGAGTCCTTGTGTGAGGGAGATAGAGAGCCGGGTATACGCAGATAGTTGCTCTTGGTCCTGGGATTATACGGAAGGACTGCTCCGGTTGGCTGTAGGTGCGGGCTGCTCGGTCGCATGGTTAGTTGCCTGGCGCGCTAATTTTTAATTACGACCACTAAATATTCAATTTTTAGTTGCCAGCAAAGGCAAACACTTCCTCTACGCTGGCCGGGGCTTTTTGTTTTGCAGATTAACCGGCTTGTGAAAGAGGTTTTTCGGTGGGGGAGACTCTGGTTTCCTGTCAAGTGCAACAACTCGTTAGAATTGCAAATGTTGCGATTACTTTGAGAGAGGATGTAGTCTGGCTATGTATAAGAAATTAACACTATTGCAAATGTTTTTCTATACTCACGGTATATGAGATATGTAGCTAAAAGGAAAGTCATTTATTTTCTTTTTCTCTTCATGTTAAACTTAACAAAATTAATTTAATTTTTTAATTTCATGGAGAACCTTTTTTAATCTTCAGGTGATCCATAAGCCTCTTAAATTCTTGCTCATAGGATTATTAAATTAGCAATACATCCGGTTTAGTGTTTCAATATCCTTCGGGCTCAGTCGTGTTGCTTGGCCAATTTTCGCATCCGCTTTTAGAGGAACAATAGTTGGTTTTCCGTTCTTGGAGAACGCAAAAGGACCATAGTGCATGATACTGTCGTAGTCATAGTCCAGGCCAAAACTAGTCACTCCAATTGCCAGAAGCTTCTTGAAGTTGTTTTCACGGCCGGGCACTATGTTTTCCGTTTGGATCTTGACATAACTATCCCGTTGTGGATCACTTTGGGTATGATAAAAGGCCAAGGCGTGAAGTAGTTCATGCTGGATGGTTTCACTAGACATACAGCCCCTGGCCAGATTGAGAACCTGGTTAGTCCAACCCAAGTATCCCACATAGGAATAGCAGCCAGAACCCTGCCTTTGGATGATAACCTGTGGCTCTCGAGGGTTTCCTGTCCGGCGAAATTTTACACAGGTCTGAGATGATATTTCCAACATGGCTTTTTCAATGCGATATTTGTCCAACAAAGCTGTGATCCGCAAAATAAAAAAATAACTTCTTGTAAACAAATTTAAAATACTGTTCACTTACAAAATCCTCCACCGAAGCTATAGACCAAAGTACTTTGCTTCCAATAATACTGTGACCACGATTTAACAACTCGTGATGCTTGGTTTCCTTCAAAAAATTCCATCTGCTCGGGGATAAGTACGATGTCATCCACCGGAATTTTAATGAAAGGAAGAGAGTGGGCCAGTGACCCTATGGATAAAACCAAGCTGAGTACAAGGAAATTCATTTCGGAACTGATATAAAATTATCAAGTGCGAGCGGTTTTTATTCGTTTTCAGCACAAAGGGAGATCTTCTAAATTACCTTGCAAACCTGGGACATTGCCAAATTTATTGTCCTAGGGTAACAACTGTTTATATTTGCATGTGACTTTAAGCTCGAGAACTTTATCTACACTACAGCTATTGCTCTCTAACTTTTTATTGGTTTTTTGCATGCTATAAAACTTTATTTAACCCTTAGGCCCTGCAAACATTCGGGAGCAGTAAAAGTATCTAATTTTATTAGAACATAACAACTACCCTTTTTTTATTTTCCAATAATTGTAACTCCATTTTTATTTTAATTTCAAACCATTTTTTACATTTTTAGAAAAGAGTTCTCTTTCACGGCCTAATTGAATTGAAGTAAACAACAATACAAACAAAAGATAATCAATCTTTATCAGGTATTTTACCCTTGTTTCCTGAACCATCCACTTGAGTATAATTTTAAAATAGCCCAAATCAATTGATTATTTTAATATGTTTTATAAAATAGGTAATATCGGCAGAATTTATTTATTAATTGCACCCCTAAAATATGCTATTTACCACTAGTAGATCTTTTATTTCCCTTAAAAATTAGCTGTAGATAAGTTAGCCACCAATTATTCAGACTAACCCAACGATTAGATAAAATCGGCACTACTAATTTAGGAGTCGTAAATTCTAAAGATTAACTATAATAACGAACTTGTCCACCGCGCGTCCATTTGATGGCTAAACAGTATTGAATGGAGCGTTTAACAACCAACATGTATTATTACAATTTATTATCTCTGATTTTGGTTCTGATCAGCGGCGTTTTTGCCGCCCCAGCTGAGCGGATTGAAACCGATCCGGAGCTGACAGCTGGATATATTGAGGGTGATATGGTACCCAGTGGATCGCTAAGGAATATTTGGCGTAATGAAACCTACCGCTGGCCCAATCGCATTATCTACTATCACATCAATAGCTATATAGGTGAGCACTACGAATATTGTTAATGATTTTTAAATTAGTAATGCATCTTGAATTCATTTATTTCAACAGATGAAGAGCATCGGAACCATATTGTTAGTGCAATCCACAAAATCGAATCCATTTCCTGTCTGACCTTCAAAGAGGCCACCACCGATCAGAAGTATTATGTAAATGTGACCTCTGAGGACGGTGGTTGTTTCTCGTACATTGGTTATCTGAACCGAGTTCAACAACTGAATCTTCAAAATAATGAAATAGGAGTCGGATGCTTCCGCCTCTATACGATTGTTCATGAGTTCCTACACGCCCTGGGATTCTTCCATCAGCAGAGTGCCGCCGATCGGGATGAATTTGTCCAAATTGTTGAGGAAAATATCACCGAAGGCATGGAATTTAATTTCGATAAATATACCGAAGAAACAGTCAACGATTTTGGCGAGAAATACGATTATGGAAGTGTTATGCATTACGGTCCTTATGCATTTTCCAAAAACGGCGAGAGGACAATTGTTGCATTGGAGGAGGGCAAAGAAGATGTCATTGGCCAGCGACTGGAGTTGAGTGAAACAGATATCAAAAAGCTAAATGCCATGTATAAATGCCCCACTGTTTAGTAATGAATATTTTTTATCGCACCGCCGTTCAGAATTTTCTTCCGGCCTTGGCAACGTAACGATGATAAATTTCGTTTTCTCGCGAAAAATATAATCTGTTTATTGTGTTGACAAATGCAATTAGGTGAATGTTCGTCGCTGTCATTTGCTTTCAGATTAATTTTGACACTTATTTTCTTTTATTTGGGGATGGGAAGGTTTTGTACTTTTGATTGAGATTGGGTGTGTTGCAAGATGAGATGGGTGATGCAATGGAAGAGGTCATGACCGTATTGGGCTTTGTTATGCTGACAACGACAGGAAACGTGAAAGCCTGAAGGGGGAATGAATTTGTTGCAAGAGTAATTCCAAATAAATTAAGATAAATTTATGATGAACAGTAAAAATGTTTACCAGCACAAGTTGAAAAATGAACAGCATTCCATTGCCTTAAATTCGATTATTACATTTTATAGAAATTAAAAAATTTTAAATTTACTAATTAGTAGGGTCAAATTTATATTTAAAAGAAGCTTAATTTTAATTTTTGAATTTTACCAATGAACCGAATATCAACCCAACTTATCGCAATGGCAGTGGCAATTCCTAAAATGCTATTTGAAATTACCCTGAGTAAAGATTAAGTATACAAGCCTATATTATGCAAGTAACTTCCAGCGATTAGATTACATCTTAGCGGTGACCATTGGTCAATTCAGCTGGCCATAATCGCCGAACTATCGCAAATACCATAAATTATCCATTTACCAAATATAGAGCTTTGTCAACTTCTAATTGGCTTCGTTAACAGTAATTTGCCGAACGTGAAGCCATCAACATGAAGACCTGTGCTTTTACTTTGGTGACTCTATTCCTGGCCAGTTGCTGCCTGGCTGCTCCTGCTACCCAGCAGAGGATTGAAACCGATCCCGAGTTGACTGCTGGCTATTTCGAGGGCGACATAGTGCTCGGTCCTGAAGGAAGAAATGGAATTCGCAACGAGTCTTTGAGATGGCCCGATCGCATAGTGTACTACTACATCAATTCGGACATAGGTAAGATACTCAAGCACCTTTTATTGCAAACAAAATATTAATATAAAATATTTAAACTTACTTTTAATTTCATTTTTTTTGACATAGACACCGAACACCGCAATCACATAATTCGTGGTATTCGCATCATCGAACGCAGTTCGTGTCTGGTTTTCAAGGAGGCCAGCACTGATCAGGATTACTTTATTAATGTCACTTCCTTTTCGGGTGGTTGTTTCTCTTCCGTGGGCTTCCGTAATAGGTCTCAACAGTTGAACCTGCAGAATTATAGCCTGGATACGGGTTGCTTCCGGCTGGGAACAATTGTCCATGAGTTCCTGCACGCTCTGGGTTTCTATCATCAGCAAAGCACGTGGGATCGTGATGACTACGTTCGAATTGTCGAGGAGAACATAACGGAGGGATCACAGAACAACTTTAACAAGTACGATAATGAAACCGTCGAGGCCTATGGAGAACCCTATGATTACTCCAGTGTGCTGCACTACACGGCGTATGCGTTCTCTAAGAACGGAGAAATGACCATTGTGCCGCTGCAGGAAGGTGCCGAACAGCTCATGGGTCAGCGTTTGCAAATGACCCAGTCCGATATTAACAAACTAAATGTTATGTACAAGTGCCCCAGGCAGGTATAATATACTATTATATAATACAAAAGTTATTAAATACAAAAAGTTAATAAATATTATACCAAGAGCTCTGTATTTTCCGATTGATGATGTTCTCTCACTAAAAACTTTGGAAATTTTAACTTAAGGCAAATGCCATTAATTTTTTATTGTCTGACTGAATATAATTTTCTAAAATTGTTTCTTATATTCTTTGAAAACATACTAGCAAGCTAAATAAATTGAGCATTTTCCTAACATTTGTTTATTCAATATAAGATTCCGATATCGTTTGATTAAAGTCGACATCGCAATGACTAAAGGTAGGCACAACTTATTTTTGTGCTTTTAATGGTGTACTTTTCGGCATTAATAGATATTGAAAACAATATTCACACAATGGTGAATAACCAGGTTAAGCCTAATAGTAGAGACTAAAGCCTTACTAATCCATTTAGCATTGTTTCGGTGAATTATAAGAATGTCATATTAAATAAAAATCTTAAATCAGTTAGTTTTTTGCCTTCACCATGTTTGTACTGACATTGGCTCTAGTTTTCCTGCTGGCCAGGGAAGTTTTAAATAAGCCTTGGAAGGATCCGGAACTTCTTGAGCAGTATTTTCAAGGAGACATCATAGATAGACCCATACAATACCGGAATGGTATTACCAATACGATTCTCCACTGGCCAAATGGCGTAGTGCAATACCTGATAGAGGAAAATGAGTTTGGTATGTATGCAAATTAAAGGCAAAGCACAATGTCATGACGTGAATATCGAAGCCGACAGTCATTATCAAGAAATTCTAAGGGCGATTACCATCATAGAGGCAAACTCGTGTATTGTCTTCAGGAAAGCCACAGAAGAAGAGCGGTCGAAGGCTCTTGTAATTACGTCGAAAGGCTTGGGCTGCAATTCTGTTTATTTGGGCTTCAGGAATAAGACGCAAGTAGTGAACCTTCAGATTTATCCTATTGGTGAGGGTTGCTTTCGTATCGGTTCCATCATACACGAGCTTCTGCATACCCTGGGCTTCGAGCATCAGCATGTGTCCAACAATCGAGACGAGTATGTCAGCATCCAATGGGATAATATTAACCCGCAGTACCGAATTAATTTCGTAAACCACGACAATACCACCGATTGGCACGACTTTGGCGAGGGCTACGACTATGAAAGTGTTATGCATTATGTTCCCACGGCGTTTTCCAATAATGGTAAACCCACGATTGTTGCCCTCAAGGATGGGTCCTCGAATATGGGTCAGAGACTTAACATGAGCGTAAAGGATATTCGCAAGCTTAACAAAATGTACAAGTGCCCCGGGTATGTCTAAGAATCAAAATATTATTTATTAACTCGAAAAACGTATTTTTATTTCGGTTAATTTTTTTTAAATTTCTTATTGATTGACTTATCGGTGAAGATACACATTTCCCAGAATTGTGTTAAGTAACATTTTATTGCTTCTTTTATGAATAGTCGCTAACAATTATATGGCGTGGTGTTGATAATTGAAAAAGTTATGCATTGGAATAATCTTCAAGTGATATCAAATTGTTTTTTTTTGTGTGATTTTTGTTAAGAAAATTATTAAAAACTATACTCTTTATAGGAGCAGAGCGTTCTATATACTAATTGAAAAAGTTTTGCATTGGAATAATCTTCAAGTGATATCGAATTTTTTTTTTTTGTGATTTTTGTTAAGAAAATTATTAAAAACTATACTCTTTTTAGGAGCAGAGCGTTCTATATACTACTAACTGTTCCCACCATGATTAGTGCTCCCAGAGCTTCTGCCCCAGCTATACTACGAGAAATTGCTATGTTCAGTGCCTTGAATGGGTTATCACGTAGTACCTGGTTTTCATAATCGAAGATAACTTTTTGCTGCGATAAGAGCCTAATGTCGAACACCCAATAGACAACCCAACGAACACTGGTATTTAGCACAACGATTACGCGATTCGCGGTTGTTGGGCTGTTATCAGTAATCAATTGACAATTTTGGAGGAATTACTCATATTTGGGAAGCAAAGTTTTAATTATATATTTGTTTTTGGTGGGCACTTGAGAATCCAATCACTGCTCCACTTGAATTTCGGTTTTCTACATATAATTCGCTATCACAGCGAATTAATAGCGGCAATCCAATAGTCAAATCATGACGTATGTTATAGATTTTTATCGTAAACTTACATGACTAATGGAATGGTTTTTACCTGGGCGCCCCTTTCAAGGGTGACACGCCATAAACCTTGATCTAATTGCCCGTTCCGAATGTCATTATCAATTTGCGAAATAAGTTTTTGCCCGTTTGTATCTAATCTGAGTTGTATGGCCAGCCTTCGTCCGTTTTTTATATTTAGGTGGCCGTGTTCCCTTGCCAGTTAATTAGTCTAGTTCGAGGAACCCAACTGGCAACATGTCGAGGCTTGGAATAATATACCTTCTGCTGCTGCAAGTGGTGCTTAACACTGGCAAACCATTGCCGGCAGGTGTCTATGATCCGGAGGAGGCGGCTGGCTTTGTGGAGGGAGATATGATGCTGACGGAGGAGCAGCAAAGAAACCTGGAGCATGGTCCCAAAACTCGCAATGGCCTTATCAATACCGAAAAGAGATGGCCCAATAATGTGGTGGTCTACAAGATATCGGATGACTTTGATGCGGCGCATAAAAGGGCCATTCAGACTGGCATCACTACCTTGGAGACGAACACCTGTGTGAGATTCAGGGAAGCCACCGACGAGGATACGGCCTATTTAACAGTCACAGCCAAATCAGGAGGTTGCTACACAGCAGTTGGCTATCAAGGAGCGCGTCAGGAAATGAATCTGGAGATTTACCCACTGGGCGAAGGCTGTTTCAGGCCAGGAACTATCCTACACGAGTTTATGCACGCCTTGGGATTCTATCACCAGCAGAGTTCGGCCATTCGGGATGGTTATATAAACGTGATCTACGACAATATAGTGCCCGGCAAGGAGTTTAATTTCCAGAAGTACGATGCCACGGTGGTGACCGATTTCGAAGTGGGTTACGATTACGACAGCTGTCTGCACTATCGACCTGGAGCCTTTTCCATTAATGGAGAGGACACCATAGTGCCCCTGGACTCAAGCGCTGAAATTGGACAGCGTGTTGGCCTTAGCTCCAAGGATATCGATAAGATCAACATTATGTACAAGTGTCCGATTCTGCTCTGATCCAGAATCGACCCGACTGTGTACCTAGTCAATTGTGATACGTTAATAATTATTTTTTCAGCCACAGACTGAAGCGATTAGATCGGTTTTATTGATCTACGCTGTCATTGTCAGTGCGGTCTGTACTATTTTTAAAGAACCGTAAATTAAAGCTATATTCCTTTATGACATCGTCTCTGATAATTTCTTATCGGAAGAGTAGAAAACCCAGGCGGGGGAAATAACTATCAGTGTTTAAGATTCCAACGCTCTGGAAATTCAGGCCCGAACCGCAGTTCGTATGGCCATGTGTCGAGGTCTAGTAATTGCGTGCTGCTAATGCGATTTATATGCGAGATGCAAATGTCTGGGGAGCATCTGGGCCCAGGGAACGGAGGCCAGCACCTAGGAGTGCCAGGATTGTGCCCCGGCACAGGCACTCAATTCTCACATTTTGACAGCGCTTGTTAGACCATAAATTCGATTCTCGTTCGTTCCGACGACATGGTTTGCCCTCCTCTCACCCCGAATATCTGGCAAATGTCTTCCCTTGCGCATTGTTTCATCCGAAATTAAGAAAGGACCTCAGGAGCGGTGTGCGAGCATGTTTGGCGAAAATTACCATACACCGAGGAGCAGCGACAAATTTTCCAAAGGCATTTAACATGGCAAAATGAGATTGCAAAGGGCACAAAATGGGTGATCGATGCAGTTTAACGCACATGGCGCTCAAAATAAAAATTTGTGTTCCAATGGTTTTTTATTGCAATGGTTTTCAAAATTCATTTTTGTAAAGAACGTTTTTGGAAAATAATATAAAAAATAAAAATAAATAAAAAATGGTTTAATATATTAAATATACTAAGTGAAATATATTTTAAAACTATTTATCTCTTTAAAAAAATATCTTCTTTTGAAAGAATAGCTGGAAATCTTATCACCATCTGTAAATCCCCATGATTAGCGTAGTTTAATTAGCTCTTTAATGATGCTATCAAAATTAATAATGAGCTAATGCCCATTATCAAGTAGTGACCATAAATACGGATGGTTTCTACTTCAATTGGCGATTAAAATTCATTAAGATTATTTAAAGGCCGACGATTTTCTAAGAATAAGTCATAGAAAATGATTGTGGGAAATTACTTAAAACCAAGATTATAAAAGACGAAATTAACAACATTTTTAAAAGAAAATTACAAAAGGGGCCATTGTAATACCATGCAGGAAGTTCATTTTATTATTATTTTTATCTACGAGATGAGACAATACTTCAAGTATTAAAACGCCAGCTGCATTATTTCTTATCAATTGATTGACAGCAGAATAAATAGAAACCGTAATGAAAAAATATTTACAGGTGGTAATTACTTTGATTAACAACTAAAGGAAGTCGACACTTTATGCGTAAAAATTAAGACTTATCTTTAAAGCTATTTTACTAATTTATATTTTAATTTATTAATAGCATTTGTTTATTGGTCACTTGTTAATAGTATTAACTTAATACTAAGGATATAAATATTACCTTTACTGAGGTAACTTTTAAAAGATAAATAAAGTGGTATTAATAATATTAAAAAGAACGTGTATTCCTAAATGTAAAGTTTGAGTGAGTCATTTCCATTATTAAACCAAACTAATATAATTTACAGCCCCGGATTTTGACCGCATTTCTAAAAGGGTATAACCAGACTGAATAGGGGAAACACGCTTTCAAAAACTGACTCATCGGCACTACTAAATTTCACAATATTCTCTAATTGACTTTACCTGGCCGTCTCGCAAAGTATGCCTTATTTTTATGGCCACCAAGAGTCGACTAATTGCGCTCAGCCCAAAAGAAAGCCATGCCAGACGCAAGCCATAAATAAGGCAGCATTTTCTATTGCATTCAATATGCAAATGAGCTGCAAACAATTTCAATTCCGTCTCCTCTTCGGGGGATCCACGTTTGCCAATAATAACTCATGGACGAAAAAGCGCGTCCACAAACAGAAGCGGAAGCCAAAACCCAAAAACCGAAGCCACATGAAATATGAAACGAATTGTAGCAATTTCCCCAATGGCGAAAAGCGCATATGTGACTGAGTTCGAAGCGAAGAGATTCGGGCTTCAGGATGGGTCACTGTACTACAGCAGCCGTGTCCTTTGGCCTCTGCGATTTATTGCTGACGAATGCGTATTCAATTTTAAGGCAACGCCGAAATGATTTATACATTTAATTTTATTTTTCTCGCCCAGCCGCTTAGCGGAAATGTGAAATCACTTGCAAGGACCTGCATCCTTCTTCTCCATCGTCTTCCTTTTACGAGCCATGTTTTGGGCACAATTTCTCATCGTTCATATTTATGACTATGACGTCGTAAAAAATTATGATTTAATTTGATTATGGTGCTGCAAAGTGTGTATGGCAGACGTAGCGTATACGCAATGTACTAGAATATAAATTCGCTTAAGGTTATTGGGTCAGTGCATGGATGACTCATACATCCAATTGAGTTTTGTGATTATCTGAGCACCAGCACATTTAATGATGACTTGCAGCTCTTAAGGCTTGAATTTTAAAAAGTCTTTCAGCAAATTTGAACTTTTGATTATAAACTTGGCTTAGGTTCAAGACAATTTTGACTATGTTCATCTGAAAAAGGGAATATATTAAAAGAAAAAGTCTACATTTAAAATATTTTTTGTACATTGCGAACAATTGTACATTTGAAGAAAATATATTCAAAAAAATTGTATTTTTGCTAGGCTCATTAAACAATAATTCAATAAAACCTTTGGCTTAAAATATTTAATATACAATAAACATGGCGTGGTACCTATATATATATAATCAAATATCCTCTTCCTATATTAAATCAAAATTAAGCCAATGGCTTCTCCATCCTAATGGCATAAGCACATCAGTTTCAAATCAATTTTCTGTGCGTATGTACGCCTAATACGAATTGAGCTGCAAATTATCTAGCCTATTATTGTGTGTGTATGCTATTAACAGCGCCATTATCCATTCCAAAAACCTTATCGGGACAAACGATTTCGGTAAGCTACTTAACTGTAACTCAATCAGCGAACTAATTAATTTGCATTTGCATTTCTTTGGCATCCTTTAAAGCGCACCCACCCACACACTCACACTTTATTTCCAGGACCCACCCATCCATGTACAGATGTACACATTTAAAATGGTTATTTTGGCATGGCCGCCTTTTGTGTGAACATTAAAATCTTAATTTGAATATGTAACCGCTTGTCTATGCCACTTTTAATCCCCTTTTGGCACACTCCCACTCCTGTGTGTCCCTTTCGTCCTGTAGGGCCATTCGGTTGTGTAAGGGCGTTAGATTGTTTTCCACACACCTGAAACTAGACTATTTGGGTGTCAGACGGGCGGCATCATGTTCATTTAAAAAGGTAATTTCGGCGCTGAGCTTATTATGCTCATTAAGTCATCAGGCGGCGGCCGAAATGAGTTGGGCCAGGTCCTGTTCCGGGTGAGGATCCTGCTCCCGGGCCAGGACAACATTATAAAGTGCACGGCGACCGCAAAACGTGTGCACTCATTTGCTGTTGTTGTTTAGCTCAGTTCCCCATTCATCCACTGCAAAATCCTCAAAGTCTAGAAGTTTAAAAGTGCAATATGTTTTTGTTAAAATTTAAATATTTTTATCCATTTTTTTAACAACCAATAAAATAAATAAGTGCCCTTTATAAAATTATTAATATTAATGATTTTTCATACATCACAAAAATGTAGGTAACAACAATGTTTATTTATATTAAAAAGTAATTGAAAACACCGATGAGAAGTTAGTAATCGAGTAATTTAATAATTAAGTTGTCATTTTAATAAGTATATTAAAAATAAAATAAAACAATAAAAAAGCAATAAAGCAAATTATTTTATAAAAATAAAAATTATAGTCCTATAACCGTTCCTAACGATTTTTATTATTTTCCGTGCAGTAACCGTCGGTCTGCACTTCAGTTTACTCCACTTGCTTTCCCTTTATTTTTTAGCAGGCGCAGGACATCGAGCGTGAATTAATTTTTAATGATGTTGTGTGCGGTGCAGTGAAAACAGTTCCCATTTTGTTGCTATCTGTGTGCGTGTGTGCCATGTCCTGCCCAGGATGTAGGTCATTTCAAAAAATTGTTTGCTTTAAATTGCATTTGCGTTGGCCGTGCGATGACATGATGCACTATCCGCCATCCAGCAGCCGCCCATCACAGCCACAAGTGTTTTTATATGCATCAGCAGGGGGGCAGGTGGCAGGTGGGCAACATGCGGGGTCAGGGGTCAGCTGGCAGGGGGCAGGGGGGTAAGGTGCCACCTCAACCGCCAAAGAGTGTGTGCCACGCAACCACGCACAACCATGTCACTGGTTTAAAGGCCTTGGGATGGGTAGCAGATGGCGCTTGTTTAGCCATTAGCGAGGAAAACTGGCTCCAAATAGTGTTGTCTGCCGCAAATAACTTAAAAACAAATTAATTAAAAAATAAAATGTGTTATTTGTATCTATCGTATACATTAAACACCTTAAAGTTTATATATTGTTTATTGTTTAGTTTAAGTTTGGATTTTTGCAATACAACAAAGTTAAAATAATTAACTCTTTTTAAGAATTTTTTAGTTTTACATGATCATCACACTTTTTATTTAATAGGCACTAAACTTAAAATATTTTTCTGAGAACCATTAATGTTTTTTATAAAATCTCTTTTCTATTAAAAATATTTTTGAGGTATTAAAAATCAACTTTATATATATGGATTTTTACATCTTGGAAACATCTACCTAGTATTTGAACTAGAAAGCATACAAAAAGCAGGCACTTGAACTAATATTTGGCTATAAAAACTTTAAATGGCCATCACTGACTGTGGTAGTGGGTCAACTGCCTAATTAAAAATATTATTTAGCAAAATGCATTATGACACCTCATGCACGACAGTGGATTAAATTACTCCACCAGCAATTTTCACTCTTGAAAGCCGCCTTCTTTATGAATATCTTGATCTGGGCAAGCACTTAATTTACTTGATCAACTCCCCTGTTTAAAATTCCTTTAGTCCCGCTTGCAAAGCAATTAAGCGATTAATTCGCATTCATGCCACTCGATCTTCGCCCATATGACAGCCTGCGAATAAATCAAAAAGGGATTTTTATTGTGGCAGCC